CATGCTTCTCACATTCTACGTACCAATTGTTAATTTCTTCTTACAACTGTTTTTCCTCCTTTGTGTTTCCAAATTTGAGGATTCAACTTCAGTTGCCATATCTATTAGCCTGCTCTTAGTGTACTCAGCGGTACATAGGGTTTTCACACTGCCGTTATGCTTGGAGGAGATATTTCCAGATTTAAACTTTATTCAGTGAATGAACCAAAATGGTTTTTGGTGCCAATATCCCTCAGATCTCTTTCAGTATCATCTTTAAATCATTTGAAACACTGAACCAGAGTGCTCTCTTCCTACTTGGCAGGTAGATCTCGTCAATGATCCTGCGATTGTCCTGCCTTTCCCTACACCCACACCATCCCCTGTTAAGAAGCCAGCTCGGTCTCCATTAGGTAGGACTGTTTCATGTTGCTGGGCTGCATAAGTAATTGCCTCAAGCCGTAATGCGGACAACTAGGCATTGTCAGTGGTTTCCTCAGAAATGAACATTTTGTACCAGACATCAGGAGGAGTAGCACCTGATAAAGAGCTAGTTTCCACCACAAGCATGTGGATGGCGCAGGCCAATTTTTCATTTTACTGGCATTCACTCTACATAGGTTTCTGCATGACCCATTTCTTCTTCATCTTCCTCTCCTGGTTCATCTTCTTCTTTCACAACAGGGACCTTCACAGTTGGCGAAAAATTCATTTTCATGTCGTTGATCCATATTCTTGCCATGTCTTCCTTAGAAAAATCTTTTTTTCCCATTCCTTCATCAGTAGCTGCTGTTGCAGCTGGCTGAGCAGTGTTAGCAGGTGGCTTCAGTTCCAGGAGTTCATTGAGACTGTTATTTTTGAGTAAGTCCTTCAGTTGGACCTGGTCTTTGGGCGGAGCAGCAGGTCCAGCGCTTCGTACTGCTGGTGCAGAGACCGAAGGGCGCGTGTCCGCACTGGTCTGGATAAACTTCGTCAAAATGATGGTTTGCCTATTAGTTGCCATGGGTGGTGTTTTAGTCATTACAGTTGTCGATCCCAAGGTTGGAACCTGTTTTGTTTGATTTAGCACAAATGTCGTAGATGGAGCCTGTTGCCCAACATTTAAGAGTGCCAGCATAGGTACCATCTCTGGCTCCTGTTTAACAGGGAATGCAGCCTCAGCCTCCAACCCTAGTTCTAATGCACCAAAAGGGACTGCCAAATTGGAGGGGTCGGTGTGGTTGGAGTTGCGAGGCCTGCATCTCCTCCATCAATATCAAAGAGGTCATTTAGACTAATGCCACTCTCAAAGCAGCAAGCTGTAAATCTTGGCATAGTTCCACCATCAATGGTTGGATCTAAGGCATCTCCAAAACCAAAACGGTTATCGGGGCTCTGGGGTGGGTGAGGGGTGAGGGGGCTGGGTTTCCGAGAAGGGGAAGGGGGAAGGTATGTACATAGGGTTTTCAAAGGCCAGTTATATTTCAGAAGTGGATGGCCAATCCTTCTTCCTGGATATTCACTGTTAGAAGAATATCTGACAGACAAGTATTTTAATCTAGCAGGTGAAAGAAACTTCCCTTACAGAAATAACAATACATTGACTGCCCACACACCCCAAGCACGTATGTCCACTCTTTTCCTGCTACCTCCCCAATCCTTGCACATGCGGCCACCAGGTCAAACCCTCCCTTTCACACCCACCTCTTGGTATGATCACCAGTCACTTCTGTGATGCCTTGCACTACACACTTCTACTGGTTTAGGATGAATTTTGTTTCTTATTCCACTTTTTCTTCTCCACATCTGAAACGTGTGCCTGTACACAAATATTGGGATTAATTGTTAAATATCGATTTGCCTTTTTCTGGGGTTAGTAAGGTCTAATTGGGTTTTTGTGAAATACTGCAATTAAAATGAAAACTGATGTTGTGTGCTGTACTTATGTGTTATGTACTTACGCCACTATCAGCATAAGAAAAAAATTTAAATTAAGAGTTAATATTTAAAAACCAACAGCAATTACAAGGTCTGGTAAAGAACATGGGTGGTGTGTGTTTTTTTAAAAAGTTACTCTTTAATAAAAAACCAAACAATTGAAAAAAAAATTCATTTTCAAAAAGTAGTATTTTTTTCACATGAGGTAAATTATTTTAAATGAGGGACTTTTATATTTAAATTTTTTAAATTTTGACAGGAGTTTTTGTCTATTAGAACTTAAGAAATTATAGTAAAATGTACTTATGAATTTGATGATAAATTATGTTCTCAGTTTATAGTTACAGTGCTTTGTATAAACATGAAAAATCATTTTTGTCTGTCAATATAAAAATACATGTTAAATTATCTTCTGTATTAAGTAAGTTATAAAACGGTGATAAGGTGTCAGGCAGCCATTTAAATTTAAAAGGTAAGTAGCTAAGTGATATTTTTTTAAAATCTTATATTCACTTTTGCTTTATATTGAAAATCCATCCAAAGCCGACAACACAGTATGGCATTTTACTAAAAGAGGTTCTTTTTCTTAGTAAGGCATACAAATAACAAGGGCCTCATCCTTGCTTCTTTGAAACTGCCTGGACTTCCTCACCTCATTACCGTTCAGTAAGACCATACTCATAGCTGACCCTCCAGCAGGTTTTCAGAAGGTACAAATCACTTTCAGAGGCTGTACATTGTGCAGGAAGAGATTACCCATCCATCTTAAATTAGCAACTATAATTCTTAGCTTGAACATAAATAACTATCAGTTAAGCATTTTCATATTTTATTCATGATGAGTTATGAGCATATTAAAAACTATTATCTTCACCTCATAAATCTTTCTTTAGTTAAGTTCTTTAATCTTCTTCCTAATGTTCTTGTTTTGGTCAGGTACATATGTGCATGGTAATAAATTATGGATTAGAGTGAATATTTAGCTTAAAGAAAAAGGCCGTTGGCATAATATAGTACAGTTGTTGTACCTCATAATCAGCACCTATTAAAACAAGAGTTTTGAGACCAAACCCAGCCCATATACTTTGTTGCTTATTAAAATTCAGGACTGACTTTTAAAAAAATTGGATACAATAATTTAATTTTATTTGGCAGGTTTAGAGAATTAAAAGAGTTGAAAGTGTCATTCTTTAGAGAAGGAAACAGCAGCTAAAAAAAGGCTTATATTTGCTAAAATGAATGGTAATAATAGGGCTAATGTACACGTGTTGAGTTAATTCATATTTATAAAGAGAGGCATGGTTAGTAGTATGAACATTCAAATACTTGGCTTAGGGGGGAAATAGCAATAAATATGAACAAGCTATTACTAAAAAGTGAGATGATTATAATTATTACAATGCTTAGTTAGCAAAGATGGTGGTTGTTGTGTGTTGTTGAGTTGCTTGCGACTCATAGCGACCCTGTGCACAACAGCTCTGAACTGTGCTCTATCCTGTGCCAACCTTATGGTAGTAACATATATCATCAACGGCTTTGAGATTGGAGGCCTGCGTACGACCCATCTGGGTTCCTGTGAGCACATGACCCTCAAGTCCACAAGAGAGGGGGTTTTAGCCATGTTCAACAGTGTGCTTTGCCATACCGCACCATTTGTTGAATTCAAGATGACCTTTGTATGAATAAAGTCAAATAGGATTAAGGCAGGAATTTTCAACAATGGGAAAGAGCAACAGATGTAGCCGACTTTGAACGTGGAAGGATTGTTGATGTACTGTTGGCCTAGGTGGAGGGCTTAATGGGAGGTGGGGAAAAAGAAATTTTCAGAATATCAAAAACACAGGAAGAAGTAAAATTAGTCGAGGTTGTTTCTCTAAGCCTTTTATAATTTTGGTGGAATTATTTTGCACATTTAAAATCATTTTTCTGTAAGTAAATGTTTTCTTTAAAACTAACTTGGTTCTCTTTGTTACAAGGATAGAATTTTCAAAAATGTAGACATACACACTCAAAAATGTGATTAGCTAAGTGTGGATATGGTTAAGGAAATAAAAATTATTTAAAATGACATCATGAGCACTACATCTTTCTGCTATCATCTATGTTACGTTTTTTATTTTAACAATGTAAAACTGCGCAGGATTTGTGCAAATTACTGTATTAGGTTCTAAATATAAAATAGCAAAAGACTTCAAAATAGTATAGAGGATGAGAGATTCTAGGTAGTTTCTGATAATGTGTGGGAGGATTTTAAATAGTTATTATGCATAAATCACTTGACTTATCTTTTTTGTTTTATGTGGAAATGAAGTTGATTTGTTTTTAAAATATTGGACTGCAGTGTGGCTTCTCTTTTCAGATGATTTAATTTAAAATCAAATCTACTCCTTGGTGTCTATTATGTACTAAATGTGCCTCCTGAAAGAGCTGGCTGATTTGGCGCCAGGCTTCTCTGCTTCCTGATAGTATTAGTCCCCTAAGTGAGCTATTGTGGGCTGCGGTAATGAGTAATCTTTGAGCTGTAAAAAGAACCAAAATGCATAAAGAAGCATTTGAGACAAAGGGATAATTTTATGCTTCAACTATTAATAACTGAAAGTTGTTTAGAGGGCTTAGTGGGGAATTTTACGAGGAAAAATATGAATAATGAAATGGTTATTTCTGTTTGGTTTATTAAAATTACATGCTAAATCCAAAAGGAGTGCTGTAGAAAGTGCTCAGACTCAATGAACAGTGTAGCAATAAATTGCTATCAGCACAAGAATCGGTGAGGTGGTTAACTCTAAAAATGTCTGTGGTGCTTGTGTAAATATAGGTGGGGGATGAATACATGTGGGGGGACTGGTTAACTACCGCTGGGTCGGTCCTCAAACATGTTGAGGGGGAAGTCAGCCCAGGTTCTCTTCATCTAATACCCCAAATACTTTTAGGAAGGTCCCTCTCTCTAATCTGTAGGAGCCTTGATGCATCGCACCTGCGAACTGGAAGATCAGGGTTCAAACCACTCCAAGGGAGGAAAACATGGGTATCTGCTTCCATAAAAAATTACAAATTTAGAGTAGTTCTCCTCTGTCCTGTGTGTCTAAATGAGAATAGACACTAGGATGGCAGGTTTGGTTTTTCACCGTGGCCCCACCCTGTGGTTTAGACAGTCATTTAAAAATATAAACCTCCTTTCTTACTTTCCGCTTGGAACCGTGGAGGCTGCCGTGGAGAAGAAAAAGAAGGTTCCTGCAGTGCCAGAAACCCTTAAGAAAAAGCGAAGGAATTTCGCAGAATTAAGGGTCAAGCGCCTTAGAAAGAAGTTTGCTCAAAAAATGCTTCAAAAGGCAAGAAGGAAGCTTATCTATGAAAAAGCTAAGCACTATCACAAAGAATACAGGCAGATGTACAGAACTGAGATTCGGATGGCTCGGATGGCAAGGAAAGCTGGCAACTTCTATGTACCCGCAGAACCCAAGCTGGCATTCGTCATCAGGATCAGAGGTATCAATGGTGTGAGCCCAAAGGTTCGTAAGGTGTTACAGCTCCTTCGCCAGATCTTCAATGGCACCTTTGTTAAACTCAACAAAGCTTCAATTAACATGTTGAGGATTGTGGAACCATATATTGCATGGGGATACCCAAACCTGAAGTCTGTCAATGAACTGATTTATAAGCGTGGTTATGGCAAAATTGATAAGAAGCGAATTGCTCTGACAGACAACACTTTGATTGCACAATCTCTTGGTAAATATGGTATCATCTGCATGGAGGATCTGATTCATGAGATCTATACTGTTGGCAAACACTTCAAGGAAGCAAACAACTTCTTGTGGCCATTCAAATTATCTTCTCCACGAGGTGGAATGAAGAAAAAGACCACTCATTTTGTAGAAGGTGGAGATGCTGGCAACCGGGAAGACCAGATCAACAGACTTATCAGAAGAATGAACTAAGGTATCAGCCATGATTCTTTTTTGTAATCTGGTCAGTTAATAAAACAGTGCTTTCAAATTGAAGGAAAAAAAAAATATAAACCTATCTTCCCACTGTCATTGCCAACAAAAGTTAGACATAGACATAGATATAGATCTTTCCAATCCATTTTATGGTGTCTTTTTGCAATTTTTACTGCAAACAGTGCATAAAATATTGTAAGGTAAATAAAACATGTGCAGTCATCAAATAAGTATAAAATAGAAGTGATGTTGTGGTTGTGTGCTTTCAAGTCAGAACCAACCACACAGAAATACATTTTCCATCCTCCAGTGGAGCAGCTAGTGGATTCGAACTGCATGCCTTTTGGATTGCAGCACAACTTCTTACCACTGGGCCACTTACCACAAGGCCACCAGAGACAGAGACAGTAAAATGCCATAAGAAACTGAAATATGGAGTATGACATGGACTTTGAGAAGAAAGGAAGATTTTATAGGGAGAATGACATCTGAATCTATTACCATCTCAGTTCTACCCGGTGGGATAAAACTGAGACACACAAATGGAGGGGAGGAACATTCTGAGCAAGAGAAGCAGCCTGATCCTCCCTCCCCTGGGCACTGTGCAGCGATCCCTCTCTAGGGTTTACCTTTCCCTTCACGTGCTTTCTCTCCCATGTCATGCCCACTACACATGGGCCCGAATCAGTGGCAGCACTCCTTCCTACCTGTTCCTTACAATCTACCTGGGATGCTTCCTTCGGAGTCCTTCCTGGACCACAAACACAGAAACCCTCACGTCAGCCTGCATCCTGTCGTTCACTTCCCTGCCTTGGAGACAGGATAGGGAAGGATAGGGAAACTTTATCTAATACCCTTTGGGCCTCTGAGGAGTTAGCCCTTGGTAAAGGACATCGTGCTTGGAAAGGAGGAGGATCAGTGAAGCAGAAGACCCTCGATGAGATGATTGACACGGTGACTGACAGTGGACATAAGCACATTGAAGCTGATGAGGAAGGCACAGGACAGGGCAGGGGCAGATCCATTGTTCACAGGGGCCATCTGCAACGTACTCAGCTCAGTGGCGCCCAAGAACAACGGCATACTTCTAATTGCTTCTTCGAATGTCTCTCTTCCCTACCAGACTGATCTAACTTCATGCAACAGGTTCCTGAATAATAGGATGTGAGTGGAGTAGTGATCCAGGCAAACTCCAAGCCCTTGGGGACAGTTCAGCCTAGGGGGTAGACAGATTACAAATACCTAAACAAAAGTTCTTTTCCAATTTGATTAGAAATAAAAGGAAATCAAGAGGCTGAAAAGTTATTATAGAGTGGTAGTACTTTAAACGGGTAGTCCTGAGCCTGCTTTCTGAGATGATATTTAAGTAGGTTCCTAAGTGGTGTAAAGAATTTAACTAAATGGAGAAAGAGTTTCTCTGACAGAGGCAATCGTAAGGATAAAGGTCTTGGAATAGAAATTTATATTGAGGCTTATAAAAAGCTTCTGCACGGAAGTGATATTTGTGCTGAGATCTGAAAGAGGAGTGTAAGACAGCTGGTTAGACAGTGGAGGAAACGGACTGTTTATCCTGAGAGAACAACACGAGGGAGCAGCGTGGCGGGAGCCGAATGCACAAGGTGAAGCTGAGAACTAGGCAGAGGCTAGAACGGGCAAGGCTTTTGAGGGCCATGTCGTGGATTTTGTAATCGATCCCAAAAGAAGTGGTCAGTGATTGGGTTTCCTGCAGGGAAATGGCTTTATTAAATATATGCTTTAAAAGATGACTCATTTTTGTGAAAATGGCTAGAGGTGGTAAAAGCAGGAGAGAATGGGAACGTAAATAGTAATCTGAGCTTGTGGTGATGGAGGCGTGGACCAGTTGACAGTAGAGAGAGAGAGAGAGAAATCTGTAAGGTTTGTGTGCATATGTGCACATCAGCATTCCTGCTCTGCGATCAGGAGTATATGAAGCAAAAGAAAAGCCCAGGGTCTCATTGTGCTGTTTGTTCTGTGGGTTCCAGAGTCCCTCAGCTTCCTTTCTTCCCTTCACATTTCAGCATCTTACATTTGTTCATATTTTGGGGCCATGTTTGTTTTATATCTAATGTCCAGAGGGTGTAGTCATACATAGAAGGAGGAATAGGAATAATGTTGCTGTTTTGTGCTGTAAAGTCACCTGCTACTCAACAGCAACCCTGTGTACAAAAGCCCTAAAACCTGCTTTAGCCTTTTCCAATCTTACTGTCTTTAGCACACCTATCCCCATTACCCAGTCACTGAAATCAGTCCATCTCTTTGAGGGTCTCCTCTTTTGCACTGTTTTGCCACCCCCGCAAGCTTGATGTCCCTCTCCAAGGACTGGTTCCACCTTGCAACATGCCCAAAGTATGTCAGACGAAGCTTCAGAATCCTTGACTCCAAGGAGCAGCCTTGTCTCACTCTCTAGGACAAACATGTTTGTTCTCCTAGCAGTCCATGATACATTCTATTCAGCACCACAGGTATCAATTCTCCTTTTGTCATCCCTAGTCATTGTCCAGCTTTCCAATGCATAGAAATGAATTGCAAAGATCATGGCCTGGACCAGGCTCACCTTAGTCTTCAGACTGACATCTATATGCGGAACAGATTATCTGGGAGGCTGGGCTCTATGAGGAGAAATGTGGCATCAGGATTGGAGGTAGACTCATCAACAATCTGCATTATGCAGATGACACAACCCTGCTTGCTGAAACTTAAGAGGACCAGAAGCACTTGAAGCAGGTGGTCAAGAGGACTACAGCCTTCAATATGGATTGAAGCTCAACATCAAGGGAAAAAAAAAAGATTCTCATCTCTGGGCCGATTGTCAGCATCATGATAGATGGTGAAGAGATTGAGATTGTGAACAGCTTTAGTTTGCTTGGCTGTACACTCAGCACCTTTGGAACCAGCAGCCAGGAAATAAAAAGACAAATTGCATGAACAAAGTTTGCTGTCACAGACCTCTCAAGAGTACTGAAGAGCAATGATGTTAGTCTGGAGATGAAGGAATAATGTTTCTACTCTATATTCCTGGAAAAGTGGTGGATAGCTTTTAAATACTGTACTTGCTGATTGTTCTTTGACGAGAGAAAGACATATTATTGATATTTTCCCATTGATAATCTTGCCACCCTGCTAATCTTGTGGATTAAAGAATAGAATCTGTTGATATATTTTAGGGCCTTATGATTATCATAAGAGATTGGAATGAGGGTTGCAGAGTGGAGTGGGTGGGGGTGGGGGTGTGCAGGGGGATTGTATATCAATGAAGGAATTTTTCTTTTGCTTTTAAAGAAGAGCGAACTGGGGGTGGGGGTGGGCGGGGAGAAAAGTGCAACAATGAATGAATGGAAATGTACTATCTCTGTAAATGTTCATTGAAAATAATAATAATAATAATAATAATAAAAGTAATAATAAAAAAGAAAAAAATGGAATCTGTTGATGGGCATTTGGGCTGCTGGTTACCCTTTAGCTATTGTGAATAGCACTGCTGTGAGCGTGCATGTACATGTATGTACCACTTGAATCCTTGTTCAGTTCTTTTTAAATATTAAAGAGTATAATCATTGAAGCATAGAATTGCTGTATATCACTTTTTGAGAAACTGCCAAACCATATTTCACAGTATCTGAACCACTACCAGCAATGCACATGGATTCTAATTTCTCCACATCCTCACCAACACTCATTTTCATTTTAAATATTTCATTATTATTATGGTTTTGATCTGAATTTTGCTAGTAACTCATGACATTAAACATCTTTTTATTCTCTTGCTAACCTTTTATGTATCTACTCAAATTCTTTGTTTTTTTTAAAAATTTAGTTGTTTGGGGTTTTTTAAAAAATTATGATTATACAACTTTATAAGTCACATACTTAATTTTGAATTATGGTAATAACACTATAAACAAGAATACAATTAATTACAGATTTGTACAGAATGATCTTTTAAAAGATAACAAAGTTACCAAATTGAAGTTTAGGAAAAACACCTCAAATAGCTGCAATGCTAAATTTTTCTATGAACGTCCTTGAGATAAGTTTACAATCAAATATTTATAGAATTGTTGCTGTTGTTATGTGCTGTCGAGTTACCTGAGTCTCTTAGTGACGCTATGTACAACAGCTCTGAAGCCTTCCCTGTCCAGAGCCAGCCTCAGGAATTCTGACACACTTACTTCCATTGCCCCAGTCACTGTATCAATCCATCTCTCATCCAAGGTCGTCTTCTCCTGTGCTGTCCCTCCACCCTTCTGAGCATGATGTCCTTCTCTAAGGACTGGCCCCTCCAGGCCACATGCCCAAAATATGTGAGACAGAGCTTCAACCCCGGATCATTTCATAGAACCTGATATTTTAAGTTTCCTCATTAAAGTGTGAATTAAGATGCTGGAGGAAATACCCCCGCCAGATGTAATGGGTGGTGGGAAAACTGCTTGACAGAATTCACATACTTGAGGTATATTCACTTCTGTGTCTATACCACTTAGTAAGTTACTGTCTTGATGAGGATAGGACTTCCAGACAGGCTGCTGTGGTTCTCAGATAGCTCTTCTTGAGGAATCAAATGGGGGGGAAAGGTTTATCCGACAGAAGGACCCTGGTGTGAGAATGTATTTACATGGACATGGTTTCCAGGTGGCAGACATGGGGCTTTATATAGATTTGTCCTAACACACTTGTTTCTAAGATATGAAGGTTTTACTTTGTCAGTTGTTTTAAGGTTTTGTGTAGCTGAAGCTATGGGCTCAATTCCCTGCTTGTCAAAAGTTTCTTCTGTTTTAACCAAGTTTCCTGGGTTGTTTCTGAGCTCCATATTAAATTTGTCCTGGTGCGTTGTCTCAGATGTGGCAGGACCAAGGACTCTGGGTCTCTCTCGAGTGCTATGCAGGAGAGGAGAGTCAGTGCCCAGAAGTGGAAACTTGACATTGACTTAGAAAGTGATTCGAAGTCGGTATCTTCTTCATCTCGGCCCAGTCCTTCAG